AATGGATGACGGTGTTGTTTTCTACTATCCTTGTGTAGTAGTTTTTTTGTAGTCATTACTTGATCAACAACCTAAGGTTATTATATCAATACCGGATTATTGTGTGTGCGTGTTTATATATATATATATGCGTGTGTGTGTGTCTTTGACTCTTTTTAAATTTGAATATTAAAAAAAATCTTGAACTCTTATTGTATGTCAAAAATTCACGAAATTTTACAAAGTTCACAAAGTCCCGCAGAATTTATTAAAATCCTGACTTAAAAGTTTGACAGAATCCATTAAAATCATTATTTAAAATCTTGTAGAATCCTGCAAAATCTTTTAAAATTCGCAAGACTTTTTTCAACTAAAAATGTCATATGAAATCCTAATCTAATACATCCCCTTACTGTATAATAATTTACAATGGATGGATGAAAAACAATTCACGTTTCAATAGAAATGAATTGAAAAGAAATAACTTATCTATGAACCATGTAATTCAAACCACTGAATCCTTCAATCATTTTTCAAGAATAGATACCTAATAAACCCATTTAAAAGTATGTTATGTTATAATACAAAAAGAAACAGAGTATGTTATGCTTCAATTTTTTTTTTCAATAACTAAACTGTTATCGACGGTGAATCACATAGCTAAAAATTCAACTTGAACCAAAAAAGAAAAAAATATTACACATTGATTAACAATAAGAGAAACAAAAGTACAACTAAACCAATATTAAATCAACAACCAAACACAAAGTAGTTAGCACATGCTTGTTTAGGTGTCGCATTAAGTCGATGTGCATCCTTTAAAAGCATTCTATTATAGTTTCTGCATCCTTTGAGTGATTTGATGTAGTTTTAAGTGTCAAATTCAAATGTCATTTTGCCGTTCCAAACATGCTAAGAGAGTAACAGTCTACCCAGTTCTGTTATGATGTAAATTAAAACTGAGGGATTGAAATGGTAATCGGTGTTGTCATTGTCCTACTATTGTGGTAATTTACTTCCTGGTTTGTTCCTCAATCCTTGTCTTGTTCCACCAGTTGCCTAAAATCCACAGTGACATTAGATTCAGTTCTGAAATGCTTTTTATTTTTTTTCCTTGACAAGTGATACTTAGTACTTAAAGGACTACAATACCAAACAAATTACAGTTGGTTTAGCAAATAACGATCCTTTCACCTGGCCACAGGGTGTTGCTGTAATATTTCTCTAACATAACACAAGGGAGAAGGAAAAAAAAATTGTTTTCATTCGATTACAATTGCTATTTGAAAGAGCTGATAAATTATTACAAGAATTACTAGAAGAACAATCATTCTACCACTTGCAGAAGGAGAAAAGATAGCACCACAGGCCAAAAATGGTTCCTCCCACATCTCTTCACCTAACGCATATCAACTTTGTAGTGTATAAGAAATCATTCTGTTCTATTTCAAGACTGATTCAAAAGAAAATTTGGGGAAAAGATAAAAGATGGGGTGAAAAAAATTTCCTAGCAAAGTCAAAATTCTCTACTTCTGACTCTACATTAAGGCAACCACAGATCAAGATTATAAAATAATCTGAGATTGCATAATCCATCAGCATTCGAGAAGTAGTGCATTTCAACTTGTGACACAATCTTGAAGATGAGGGTGACTTTGATTTATGTACTTGTCCCATAGTGGCTTATACCTGCCTATAGCTAACTTCAACCATGGCTTCATGTTCCCATTGAAGTGAATTACTGCAGCACTTTCAATGAGGCGGTTGTCAATATTTAGGTCGTAACCCAATCCTAAAACATGCCATCTTCTGTCAAGTGGCTCTGTCAAACCATAAAAACATAGAAGAGCAGGAGGAAGTGTCCCCAGCTTCCACAGAGTCCCATCAGCATTTTGCTCTTGCCAATAGTGATATCTTGTGGTCACATTTGCCTTCCTCCATGCAACCAAGTCAAAAATGTTCATACCAAATGCCCATGCACATGCCTGCGGATCAAACCTCGAGCTAATAATTGAGTTTGAGAAATTGAGATACTTGTAGTAACGATGAAATGCTTCAAGACAAGTTTCAACTGCACCATTCACATTCCCATGCAAATCCAGAGAGAAAAGAGGGGTCAGATCTTTCTGGACAACAAGGTCATCATCCAGGAAGACAACCTTCTCAAGTTGTGGATAAATCTCAGGAATATAAAACCGAAGATGATTCAACAGAGACAAATACTTAGGATTCCGCATTTTGGGTTCAACATTTAAATCTTGATATGCTCCAAAATAGAAGGTTCGTGAGTCAGGATTGAGAAGCTGCTTGACAAGAGGAGAATAAGATGCATTCAACCAATGAAACTCCTCAATGTTCTGTACCTCTATGGTGGCTCCTTTAAAGTCATTCCTTAGGAACCATGTTTGCATTGCCCCATAATTCACTCCATTAGTGACAATGTGAAAGACCAACTGCTTTGGATGATCAGCATTGAAGACAGTTGAGTTTACAACTACAGATGTTGCCAGGACATTATCTGAAAATATGCAGAAATGATATAGATTGTTGTCCACGAGCCTTTGGGAGTTTTTTCTCTCATCTGAGAGTTCTTGCAGGGACGGCATCTTTAGCCAATCAGACATGAGTTTCACATTTAGGCAATGAAGACTCTTAGGTACTGCTTCAGCTGCTATTTGACCAAACACAGTGCTTTGAACTATTGCTGCATTGGCACGCTCTTCTAGAGCTTGAATGTGCGATTTCATAGTCACTATTGTGGTTGCAATGTCATAATGGATATCTTGCGCCTTAAACATAAGAGAAGAAAGGCTTTTAATAATTGGCTCTGCTTCCTCCAATGTGATGGGGTCACCAGTCATAGCAGCTTTTGAAAGCAAAAGCTGGCAACTTCTGATCTTTGAGCTAAGCTGCCAAGCAAGGTGAAGATTGTTGTGTTCTTTGGCAATAACCACATAAGCCTTGGCCAGAATCATTTGCTCTGCTAACTGCCGCGAAAATGATGTTATGCTTAAAATCTCTTCAGTAAAATTCAAACCCTCCTTAGCAAAATGTTCAACTCTTGCATCACTCTCCTGCAAAGGAAAGTCACCTCCGTAAGTACCCAGAAGTGGGAGATAAAGGAATACTTGTAGGTTGTAACAACACAGCGAAATAAACTAAATTGAAACAACAGTGACTCAGTTATATAGGCCTTAAAACACAGTGTGAATAATAGTTGCATTAACAGCTATTTTACATGCATCAGTAATCTTCAAGACCCACTATTCTAAACTATCAAAGCATACTTAACATACTTAATCCAGTTTACAACTTCTTATTGATTGATGAACCAAGTCAAAAACGTTCATTTATGCACCATGACCCAATTTAAATAAACTTGTCAGCAAGAAATATGAAGGTAAAATGAATCAACCTTGTCCCAAATATTAAAATCAAGGTATGCATGCACCTCAACTTTTAGAGAAGTTATATGAGAAAAGTTGTAAAAAAGGGGGAGGTGCATGAGTTGATTTGAATTGATTACTGGTGTGAAAGTGGTTAAGGATAAGTTTTACCAAGAACCTAAACCCATATTGATGAAGAGATTTGCTGAGAAGCATGGGATGGTTATAGAGATTTTTCCATTTGAAAGCAATTAAAAAACAGTTATTAATGGGATTGGGAAAAGGATCTAATGAGAAAGAAGAAGAGAGGAACCAGCAGAGGGTATTGAAGGGGATCTTGGTGATGGTGATTGTGTTGGAGAAGGAAGAGAAGCAAAGCGAGGATAGAGGAGAAGGCCAGGAGAAGCCAGATCCAATAAGAAAGCCTCCGTCGTACCGGCCGCCGAAACTCGGCAGCCCCCCG